GAACCCCTGCTGTCTATGGACCTACGACAGGCCTACCAACTGCCTACGAATACACAGGTCACAGGTTCAATTCTCGGGGTCTACACAGATACTGTACATGGGTAGGGTGAGGTCTAGGGATCGAACCCTGGGTACTGCATCCGCCACTGCTAAAAGGTGAAACCGTTTCAATGGTGGCAGATCTCACTACTGCCATACACAACACTGGGCACTAGCGCGCTGCCAGAACTGGCAGCCGCGAGCTTGGCTCACGTCTTGGCCATGAGATTCCGTAGCCAAGAATTAGGGGAGTAGCTGAAGCCCTTGCAGGAGGAGGGAGAGGAAACGGCCCTGAACCCAATGAGCCCAACAATATCATCTTGAGAATCTCATAACATTTGATAAACAGCAACCTCAAATAACTGAACCATGAAAGCAGGAGAGGACCGGGTAGGAGGTCAGAAGGAATACAAAAAATCAGGAGGAAAGCAAAGCTAAAGACAAGATCTTGGAACGTGTATGGTCTAGCAACCATCCTATCCTCACTTGCGAAATGGTATAGTATAACAACCAACACAAACTGGTTTGACAAGAATCCCTCAGATATATTGTGTTTACAAGAAACTCACCTCACGGATTCGAAGGACCACAGAATCATCAAAGAAGAAATAGTGAGAAGACTAAGATACGTAATGAGAGCAGAGTGGGTGGATAGCCCGATGGCAGCCTCAACAAGAGTTTTGATTCTATTCAATAGTAAAGCTAAGACCTCACAAAGCTTGATCGTCGACCAGGTGACCAAGGACTCGAACGGGGGAAGATGGATTAAAATAGACCACTCTGGGGGAGGAGGAAATCACTCTTCTAAATGCATATGCTTCCAAACACAAACACGCAAAGAAGACAAGTGCTGGAAACAATTAAACAAGAATGTTCAAACCTTCGCCATACCATAGCAGTAGGAGATTGGAATGCGACAATGGACCCACTAATCGATAGGATTTCACACGCCAATGAAGGAATAGATGTGCGAGGAATGAGCCCTCGCAGGGCCCTTATCAGACATGCACATGTTCTGGGCAGAGACCCTCAGCCAGCCCCGTGCCCGCCCTAAGTGAAGGCGGGCCTGAATATTCATCAGAGGCCAAAATTTGAAATTTTCCATATGTGGGTACTCAGGCAGTTGCAGCACACCAGCTGGTTGAGTGGAAGCGTGAGCCTTTCCATGCTGCATCGTACAGTTGGGCCCAGGCCTTGGTAGTTGCGCCTGGGCACACACACACACAATGCAGGGCGGATACATCATGAACTGGCTATAGGCCTTCGAAAACGCAGCATTGTCGGCGTACATACCCTGGGTCCTGTGCAAATGCAGCAAACGGCCCAAGTCTGGAAATACTGGCCGTGCCCAACTGTAAAGGGCCCAGGTCCTCAACTGCACATCTGGGCCTGGGCGCAGGCACTGGGGCCCGACCGGAAGCTACTGGAAGCTTCCCAGCCAGGCCACACGCAGCCAAACAGAGGCTCCCACTTCCATATAGGGAAGGAGGCAGCCAGAGTCAGGCACTCTGGCCCACGCAGGCATTGCGGTCACGCTGCTGCGTTGCTGCACGAGAGGCTGCATGCTGTGTTAGCGGCCAGGGCGTGTGTGGGCGCTTGAGAGGTGAGAGGGGCGCTGCTGGGCAGCGGTGCACAGGCAGCCATAGCCGGGGTGCAGGGCGCGATCGGTGGTCTTCAGGAAGGAGGCGAGTGTGGGTGGTCAGGGTCTGCTGCGGGGAGACGAGATACGTACCTGGTGCATGAGGGAGGTCGGCTATGGTGTTGACGTCATGTACATTGGTCTTCAAAGTCGAAGTCAGCCTGTTGCGTGAATGAACCGCGAGGTTCTGAAAAAAAAAAAAAAAAAAAAAAGCCTGTTGCGTGAATGCGGATGTAGTAGGATAGGCAAGTAGTGTAGGCTGGGCGCTGAGTGCCAGACAGAGAGGAGCGACCTTGGATACTGCGTTGTTGTGGCCTGAGGGCTTGAACATTGGCTCATGACTTCATTGTATTGCTCTTATTTGGATGGAATCTTGGTGTATTTGTGCTCTCTGCTTGTACATCTGTGTGATTTCGCAACTTGGCTTTCTGTATATCGTTCCCACTCATATTCCTTGCAGATGAATCAAAATCACAAATAATGATTGAAATCATGATGGAAAAGAAATTGATAGATCATAGATCCCTTCATGACAATATTCCCCGAAACCAAAAGATTCACATGCACTAGGAAAACTCCGCAGGGAAGAACTTCTTTCTCCAAAATAGACTACTTTCTTCTTTCAGAGTTCCTAATAGGAGCGACAACAGCAATCACAATCTTCAACCAACCGTACTATGGGGGTTTTGATCACAGGGAGATAGGGCTCGTACTCAAATTCAGGCTAGGAAACCAAGCGGGACCGAGCTTCTTCAAGAGCAATAACTCCCTCTTGAAGCTGAAATGTTTTCAGCAAATCCTCAGACGAACTTGGGAGACACTCTCACCCAAGCTACAACAAGAGAACATAGTGTCCAATTTTGCAAAAGGACTGCTAGAGTTAAGTGAAGGTATAAGCAAAGAATCAAGAAAAGAGGCAAGAAGAAGAAGAGAAAGATAAAATTTTCTAGAAACCTTAATAGAGACCGCATAATACAACTTAGCTCGCAACCCAGGTTCCCCGCTCTATGAAACACTACTAACATTGGCAAAATGAGAACTAAAACAATGGGTGGAGTGGAAGAGAAGAGGATTGAGCAGTAGAGCAAAAATAAAAGACTAGGAAAGCAATGAAGTCATGATCAAGTTCTTCTTCCAATGAATCAAATCAAAATGTCGAAATAACATAATAGTGGAGCTCAAAGACGAAGGAGGC